TTCGCTAGCATCGACGGCCACAGTGAAGGTTCCAGCAGGGTTTGGTATTTTCAGACATCTTCTCTCAGAAGCCGTAGTTGTTTTTAGCTCTTGGAAGACCGTCTTCAACTCTGACGTTCACTCAAACTTCCTGTCCTTTCTCAACAACTGGAGCAAGGGCGCAACCTTCTCAGCGAATTGCGGTACAAATTTGGCGTCGTATCCTGCTAATCCCAAAAGCGATCTTAATTGGCGTTTGGACTTCGTAGGAGAAAAATTTTGAATCACTTCAGCCTTCTGTTTTAAGGGTTTAATTTTACCTCCGCCAACAATGTGACCCAAATCGGTGACTGTGACCCGAGCGATTTGGCATTTCTTTGCACTGAGTTTCAAGCTTGTACTTTTGATTCTCTCCAGCACCGCTTCCAGTCGACGCACGTGTTCCTCTGGTGTCTTTGAGAACACAACAATATCGTCCCCGTACACTACAACACCATCCAAGTTTTCCAGTATATGTAGCAACACGTCTGAACGTGGCTGGTGCATTGCACAGTCCGAACAGCATCCGAAAAAAATCGTATTACTGCCCGTTGACACAAAATGTTGTTTTCTCTCTGTCGCTGACTGCCACTGGTAGTTGCCAATACCCCGATCTCAAGTCGATCGATGGCAGTACCCGTGCAGAGTGGAGTTGTTCAAATATCTCCTCGGTCAGTGGCATCGGAAAGGCGTCCTTCATGGTTACACGATTCAGTTCTCGAAAGTCGACACAGAATCTGTAAGTACCGTCAGATTTTCTAGTGAGCAGCACTGGTGGCGAGTACGGGCTGGTACTTTTACGGATGATACCTTTTGAGAACATGTCATGTACCTGTTTCTCCACCTCCGGCAGTATCTTGTGAGGTGTCCTTCGGTACACAGGTTTACACGCGGCTCTTGGCACTAGCTTTATTTTGTGCTCCAACCAATCACAACATCTATACTCGTCGTGCGCAGTAGAAAATAATTCAGAATACTTCTCGACGCATTGCTTAACACATGGAATCGAACATTCTGGAACGGCCGATTTCCCCACAACGCTGATGAGGACATGCGTTTGTTTCCTTCAGTTTAATTCATGTGCTTGTGATCCCACGAGCAATTTACCTCCCACGAAATCAATCTTCGCACCCTCGCGCCTGAGCAGATTGACACCGATTATAACCTCACACACCTTCGATCAAGAACATCTCATGGGTAACGGTCACTCCACCAATCTGCACACTGACATTGTTTACACAAGACTGAGTGGCATACCCCGAACCGTACGTACGCTCAGATTGCACGGTTTCACCGGAATCCTTTCCACCCGAGGCATACTGGAAATCCCGGCACCCGTATCAATAACTGCCAACTTTGACCGTCCCAAAATGAAAACCTCGAGCCTTGGAAC